AAAATCTGAGAAAGATACTTGGTCATCCTTTTATTCTCACAGTTTACATCTACATAGTTAAATTCTCCCTCCTCATCTTGACTGTTTGTGCATGTCCTGGTTTCGGCAGGGATATAGTTAATTTCCTTCCTAGTAGCTGGTACAGTGCTGTGTTTTGGATTTAGGATGGGAACAAAATTGATAAGGCACCGATGTTTTAGTTGTTGCTAGGTAATGCTTACACTGGCCAAGGACTTTCTAGTTTTCCATGCTCTACCCACTGAGAAGGCTGCAGGTGCACAAGAAGCTGGGAGGGGGCACAGCCAAACTGGCCAAAGGGACATTCCATACCATGTGACGTCATGCTCAGTACATAAACTGGGGGAAGCTGGCTGGGGGGGCCGCTGCTCAGGGACTGGCTGGGCATCGGTCAGCAGGTGGTGAGCAATTGTACTGTGCATCACTTGCTTTGTGTATTATTATTATCAAATTATTATCATTATCATTTTATTTCAATTATTAAACTGTTTTTATCTCAACCCATGAGTTTTTCTCACTTGTGCTTTTCCAATTCTCTCCCCCATCCCATCGGGGGGGGGAGTGAGCGAGCGGCTGCGTGGTGCTTAGTTGCTGACTGAGGTTAAACCACGACAGTGCATTGCATGTGGACCACGCTATCTCCCATATCATGTCAGGGTGAAGCTGGCTGCTGGCTTATTCCAGTCCCATGCCAGGAGTGGCCTAACAATTAACCAATATGGACAGTGCATCAGTTCTCTGGCTCTGTTTCGTACTAACCGTTTCAGTTTCTCAGAGCCTGTTTGGATTCCACCATTATAAAACAGCCATCTGATGTAGGAACTTTGTCAGGCTCCCACTTTTTACATTTAGTTTTAACGTTTCACTCACAGTACTTGTTTAGGGGTTGCCATAGCTTCATGAATCAGTCCTGGGTTGTCTTCAGATTTCCTTAACAACAGTATTTCAGACATAGTTTTGATGGATCTACATTTGAATGTGTCAGTTCTTTTTTAGACAGGAACACTTCTGGGGCTGGGCTGCTGTCTATAGGTTCATATATTTCAAAGGTACTTTCCAAAAGAGATGGCATATGTCAGGCACTTGGATAGCTCATTTAATAGAACATGCCAAAACCAATTTTTTATGTCCTAATTAGTGAATATTTTGCTCTACATAAATTTGGTACATACTGCTTCAACCACTTAGTCCAGTAGTTCTGGACTAATGCAGAATTTCTGCTCTATCCACATTCATAAAGACTGATTTTTGAGAGCTCTTCCACACTATTTCAGCAGCCTATACTCAATGCAGACTGCTGCAGAAGCTGAGGATGAAGTGGTAAGGCTGAAGCAAAGCTGGAAAGGAGTAAATCTGTTTTGGTAGCACACACTTTCATATCTTTTTCTTCCCTTCTTTTTTTCTATTCATTTTTCCTTTTCTTTTTAGGCAACACTTTTCCACCATTTTTTCCTTTAATTTTTTTTTTTTTCTTCAGTATGAACAATTCTGTCAGCTTATAGTAACCAATGGAAACTATATGGCTGGTCAGCAAAAAAAGATGCATAGAAACGAAACTAAGCAGCGCATCTGTGTTTAGCAAAGAACCTGACTAATAACCAGAAAGAAGATTGTAAGATCTAGCCATAGAGCATCACAGTTGTCATTCAAACGAGTGCTGCTTAGTATTTTCTTAGATATACAATGATATTATTTCCATGATTTTTTTTAACAAGTAGGTAAATTACTACTTCTGCTTTAGAAATTTTAAAATGAGAACACTACAAATTCAGTGGACTTCCTCCAGCTGGATTGTACCCCACGACAAGTCTCTGTTTGGTGTTGGTTCAGACAGTTTTCTTTAGTGGCCTCTTTAAATTTGAGTACTGCTATTCCCTCCATCTTTTTGAAACATGCAGACCTTTCCTTCCCCTGCATACTCTGGCTGTTGACCTCCTAAGCTTGAGGGACAATGGCTTTTTAAATGCTGTAGCATGCATACTATATGCATACGAGAGAGCATTTTTTCCTGTATAAGATGCTTTTTTCCTATAGTGAGAATAGTGAGAATATATCTCAGCCAATGTTGATCTGTTTCTTGTCTGCTAATGTAGATAAGATTGCTGGATGAGAGAGAGAAATTAAGTCACAAAAATGGATTTGCCACAGTGAACTGTGCAGTCAGGCCATATTCATATCAGAGACAGCATACATTACAAAGCAACACACAACCTTATGCAAAACACAGCCTTCCTCTTCCACAGGCAGGAATAGTACTTTGGTCTTAATCTTAAAAATGAGATGCTAAAGACAGGATGCATAGGGTAATGATGGAAAAAGATGGTATTATTCAAGTGTCATTACACATTAGAGATAATAAAATAAAAATTGGATCAATGAGTAACGAGAAAGTATGCCTTGCTTCACCGGTGTCACAGACTAAATATTTTAGGATTGTAGCAGGTTCCCCTAAGTACTAGAATTTTGTTTTGTATTCAGATTATCTCACATGACCAAATCTTATAATCTCTTTCTTATTCATAACATGTGGGATAGACACGTAGATCTGAACCAGTCATCCTCAATTCCCTTTATAGTCAGTCAAGCAGAATATATACTTTTAGGGCACACCTGACTTATTTGAAACATCTACATTGGAATGACATGAATTGCACCCTAGAAAGGCCTATTTCTACCCAGGGACTATAAAAGGAGACATGATGACTAGCAGAGTTATAATTACCTGCATTATAAATGCATATTTGGTCACATGGATTCCCTTTTCCTAGGAATTTAAGAAAAAACCCAACCATATTTCTGTTAAGCTATGATTTAGCTATCTGTCAGGTAGAGTAGGTTTGTCTCATACATTGTATTTTTTCAATTCTTTTGAATCACTCAAACAAACGAGCCTTTTCTTTAATTTCAGAGTCCAACAACCTTGCATTAAGGTATATTCCTTACTTCTGATGTGCAGAAATTTCTGATAGTAACCTTTCATTTGTTCTGTATCATCCCAATAAGTTTAATCACTCTGTAGTACTTCCAAAGAGTTGCTTTAGTCTTAGTCATGAACAAACCATGCTTTCTTTCTCTTCTCTGCATTCTCTAAAGCAACCAACCAACCCCTGCCCCAGCATCAGAGGGTTAAGACTCAGGAACACGTTACTGCATTTAGACTTAGTATTTTGTGTCAGCTAAGCTAGGGTAACTGTACCTCAGTGTTTGGCCTGACAAAAGACAAGATGGTGTAAATTTATACTGCTTTTATTGAGGGTTGAGCTCAGTGCAGTATCTCCTATCTGCCACAGCAATGTGTAGAAAATAACCACAGCTCAGTTAATGTAGCAGAACTTGTTAAACTATCATGTTGATCATGAATCGATGCTCTAAGAAGAAATTCTCTTGAGAGAGGGGAATTATCCTCATGGGCTTGAGTATGTTGCTGCTTCAGGGTTTTTTTGCTACTGTCCTGCACTGATTGCTGAAATACCTATTTTGCTGTCTATTATTACTCAGGCTTGTTCAGCATACTGGATTTCACACTCCACTTCTCTCTGAAGATTGGTGTTCTGAATTGTTTTCCTCTAGAGGGGGATTAGCTTGCATTTTTCAAAACAAAATCCCATCTTTTGGGGTTACATTAACCCTTCTAAACCCCTTTATACTCTTTTTTTGCTATGCAATTCTCCCTAATTCGTCAGCATCTTCTGAAAAAAATGTTGCTTACTCCACTGTTACAGATTCTTAATGGATGGTAAATAAAACCAGATTTAATACCAAATAATATAGCACCTCTGCAACAATTAACTTTCTCCAAGTTCATATACTATAGTGACACCAGCTGGCCTTTACTTATCACTCTTAATTTGGTTTCATTCCAAAGAAGTGTCAGATTCTGTCTCTCATAAATCATTCTTTTGAATATAGATATGAAAAGTACTTTATTGACTATGTGAATCTACAGATATTTAAATCACCTTATGTTTATTATTTCTGCAATTTTATAAAACGTTACTATATTCTTTGTTCTAAGAATTTGTAGGTTTTCTAATGACAAACATTTGGCATATGCAAACACTAAAGCTTCACTTCCCAACCTCTACTCTTCAGAAGGAAAGTAATTAGTATTTTTGTATAGAATCCTTTTTTTTTTCTTTTGAAGCACAGAGTAACATACACTCAGTGACATATGAATGCCTTTAGAGGAAAAAAGATCTTTAATTAAAGAAATTCAATCATTATTCACCTCAGGTAATAATAAATTGTGATGGATGGTCATCTTGAACAATTGAAGAAAATTTGTTTGGCTAAAATATTAAAAGCTATGAAATTACTTATCACTGTCAAATTATTAAGACTTCTTCTGTTGCTATTGCTTCCTTACAGATAAGTCTTGACTCTCCCCTTCCAGTGGTGTATATTCAAGCTTACTGTGTCAGACTGGTCAGAAAAACTAAGTTGCTAGAAGCTATTTTTTTAAAACAGAGAAAAATATACTACGGATATTTGTTGTCAAGAAAGAAACAAAACAACTGTTGTACAATACTTTTACAATGAAGGAAAAGGAGGCAAAAGGGCTTGTCAAAACCAGTAACCTTGTAAAGGGCTAATAGATTGCTGTGATTTTGATCTACCTTAATGAGTCAATGTATACAATTATATCTAAAGCTTGCAGCACTGCTTTGGGACTATAAGAGTTTGCTGCAGACGCCATACAAAGTATTATGGGGTGAAAGGTCTGGAACTGCTCTAGTTTTACCCTTATACAGATGTGGGACCATTGACACTCAAAAAACAAAAAGGAATGTACAACAAACTGTTAGATTTTGCCTAGGATACTTAATTGCAGACACACTTTTGCAGAACCAATGGTGTTACCTCCCGCAACATGGAAATTAATTTCCAATCTAGCACACAAGGATGTAGTGAGTATATCTATGTCTTATGGTTTAGAACCTTTTACACACATTTTCGTAATTGTACAGACTTTCCAAACTTACCTCCTCTATGGATAATCAAAGAAGTTTCACTTCCAACAGGACATTCTTTAAGTATATCCACTACTTCTGCATGGCTCAGGTTCTGTACATTCTGCTGGTTGATCTCAACAATGAGGTCACCTTCACACAAACCAGGACATCCCTGAATGTCTAGAATTTGCTTCACCCTCTGTCCTGTAGGACTGTCTGCTATAGTGAAGCCAAAGCCCTGGGCCCCTTTCACAATGGTTAAGGTCATGAGTTCAGCTTGGGTGGCCCCAGAAGAAGCCATTGATACATTATCATCATGGGCAGGTGGTGGGAATGTGCTATCAAGCTGACTATCTGCTGGAATGGAGTGCAAGGAGTGTGGTGGTCGATCTGTTACGTCTGGAACAGACTGAGAAGTCCTAGAAATGTATTCCAAATAAGTTTCATAGTTATGTCTTCCATTTACCACTACCGGAGGCCTCTCCATTACTGCAAGGGGTGGCACCATGCTGTTGGCAGGATCTTCAGGATCAAAGGGCAAAGGGTATCCACGACATAGCACCAAGTTGACACTCTGACCAATAGGAACAGACTGGAAGAGTTTGACTACATCTGCGTGAGTATGTCCAAGGACACAAACTTCATTAATATAGACAATGACATCACCTAGAAAGAGAAGAAAAAATAGTGACAACATAAGACTACTTCAGTTACTGTATATGCAGTGCATTTTTTTTTTAATGAGACAGATAGAACTCTATTAAAAAATAAAATAAATTAGCTCAACATACTGACTCAAATAGTGGAGACAAAAAAGTAAAATTTGTCTGTCAGCAAATGTAATACAAATAGACAACGAAAGTACTATTTCTTTTCTGTGGAAGCTCACAGCTGGAGAATTAAGCTGGATCCAGACATACACCTTTTCTTAACGTCTCTTCCCTATTTTTTTGACTCCTTTCAGTGTAGTCCACACATTACTTTTTTATAAGATACAATCAAAGTTTATGTGGAGGGTTGGTTGTCAAGAAATACCATTGTTTGGTGAAGAGTAAAAGGAAAAAAAAAAGGAAATAGTAGGCACTCATGGACTTAAGAATCAATGAATAGGGATGCAAGACTGTGCATCCATGTGCATAAGGAAATATTTTTTGCATTGATCATGATATTGACAGTTTCCTATTAAATGTCATTACTTGCCATCAGACATCCAGGACTCCTACAGTCATTTCCTATTCTAGGCATGAATTAAACTGTACCTTGCATATTGTAGACATATTTAGTGGCATTTTGTTGTCGCCATGACGGTTCAAGGGTAATGACAAGACAAATTTTGTAGGTGGGTATGACAGCTTTTTATTAGAAAAATTTAGACAAATGTCTGAAAATCAGTTTAATATTTCCAGCTAAACCAGCTGGTCAAATAAAAATAAAGGTACTACCTTTACCTCCAAATCTTGTCTCGTGTATAGTACAGAGCTACCAGTCAGAGAATATATGAAAGCAGAATACTTTAAGTCAGCTGGCTATTTATGGGTCTCCATATTGCTCATGCACCAACCAGCTTCTGTTACTGAAAAGTTCAGAAATAAGTTCAAGTTCCTTCTTGTTGTTAGAATGGATCTATATATTTATAGCCATAAATAATTTTTTTACGGTACTGTTAAGGTGCATATTAAAATAAAAATGAGTAATCAGTACAAACAATATTCAGAATAGTTTGATGACCCACAGTCAGTTTCCACTTTATAAAACAGTTCGCATCTTTATACCAAAGGAGAAGGATGTTTGGTTAGACAACCCAAGTTAAAGTATTTTTCTAAGTGAAGATTATCTTATTATCCTACCATTAAATAGGAACAAGAAATCATTTATACAGACAACACTGTGAGGTGTCTACAAGTTCAATAATTGACCTATCATAATGTAATGTTTTTTAATGGCATTTGAAAATTCAGCAATAAAATGATAATGATTTAGGGAGGATGAGGTGGTTTGTGTGGAATTGCTTCAAGTGTATTTATGAAATTATGTCTTTCAAGTACTTCAATCAAAAGATCTAATCAAGCAAACTGAGGAAAAAAGAGCATCCTCAATATGCCAGTACAAGGGCTGTTTCTATGTGACAATGAAAGGTAAAGGCTGTTTCTATGTGAAAATGAAATGGTCAATTCCTACATGATCAGCCTGTCTAACAGCCTGACAGTAATTAATTGCATATGCACAAATTGTGATTCAGAGAAAGATTTATTCAGTGGGTGTCTAGGGAAAAAATGCTAAGAGAGTTCGTTTAAATATTTGTGAATATCATTCACAGAAACCTTAGGAGCTGCAAATACTGTCTTAAATGAGCATCATAAATAGATTTCAAACTGTAAGAAAAAGCAGTAAGGTCACTTTATAGGCAGTGCTGAAAGAACTCCAATGCTTGTGTCTCAAGCAGCTGAGAGTAAAACAGTTTTCAAAAGTCAAGCTTTAAAAGAGAGAAAGAATGTACTGCACTAAATTATTGTGGCAATGGCTGCAATTAATTGTGATTTCCTCATGCTCTGATATAGAAAGATCTTACCTGCATTCTCATCCCTGGCTTCCGCATTAGCAGTGAGGCTGACATTGCTCATAATAGGACTGATACTGTTGAACTGAGACCTCTTCAATGCATGCTCCTGTTTCAGTAGCTTATGCCTTAATAGTACCCTTACAACTTTTTAATCCATGCAGTCTTTATTTCCCTGAGTGCTGGCAATGCAGATATGTGGTGGGAGGAGACCAATCTGTTTGTTCATCCTCTCTTGCAATACTTAAGCAGGGTGCAAAAGGAATAATGCATTTATTGTGTTGGGCAAGTAAATCATTGTCTGTTTTCACCCCTTCACTTTATGCATTTGTACAGGATCAGCTATGACATAAAACTTAAAACAATATGTTTTTGATAAATCAGAAAAATCAGATAAACTAGTTGACATTACATAGGTCTCCAGGGAAAAGAAATTACCTTGTGCACAGGGAGTGCAGTCAGGAAATATATAGGCCAAGTAGCCCCTTTCCCCAGTCACTAAACAGGCAAAACTGAGCATTAGAAGTTCTTGGGTAAGAGCTTCTTCAAATAATGACACTGCATTATCCCTCACAAGACAGCAGAATATTCTTCAGCATTTCCTGAATCAACATTTTTAAAGGTATTTGTGGTTTCTGAGGTATAACATGAATAGCATGTCTAGACACACTCTGAAGTTGTAACTCACTCACAGTTGAACCGTTTGGGACTCATAATGCTCTGCTGTCATATGGAGAACATATGGCTGAAGGTTAAGAGGGATGGGGAAAAAGGCATGAGTTACTAAGTTCAACTCAGAGAAATAGCTACACTGGTGTTAAACTGGGAAGAAACAGTGTTTCAGATCAGGAGACATGAAGGAGGAATAAAAGGGGTTAATTTCAGAAATCCTTCAAATAAATCTCTGGACTGTAGGAGTTTCTCCAAATCCAACTCATTTTCCAGGCTGAGAGTTCCTCATTGCTGACACAGAGAGAAGTACCCAGCATTTGGTAGGAAGGGAGAGATAAGAGCGTTACAGAGCCAGTGCCATGCTAATGCAAAGTTTAAAACCTCTCTACTTTAGGAAAACTCCCTGAAAGGTTCCTGTAGCACCTTTTCTGCCTGTTCTCTCCTGCCGCTTCTAATAATAATGGGTGCATATGGACAGGTATAATAGCGATCCCCTTTATAATTCCTGCCTGATTTTCTGAGCAAGCCATAGTCTGCCTCCAGAAATCACAGTTTCACAGTGAGTGGGTATCTTTGAAGTTATGCAGAACATTTATATTAAGCATCAAACTTTGCTTGGCTTTTAGAATGAAACCTACAAAAATGTCTGGAGCTTACTTACAGAATCACAGAATGATTGAGGTTGGAAGGGACCTCTGGAGGTCATCTTGACCAACACCCTTGCTCAAGCAGAGTCACCTAGAACCAGTTGCCCAGGACCGTGTCCAGGTGGCTTTTGAATATCTCCAAGGAGGGAGACTCCACAACCTCTCTGGGCAACCTGTGCCCGTGCTCAGTCACCCTGACAGTAAGAAAGTGTTTGCTGATGTTCAGACGGCACCTCCTGTGTTTCGGTTTTTGCCCATTGTCTCTGGTCCTGTCACTGGCCACCACTGGAAAAAGCTTGGCTCTGTCTTCTTTGCACCTTCCCTTCAGGTATTTACATACATTGGTAAGATCCCGCTGACCCTTCTCTTCTTGAGGCTGAACATCTCTCTACTTCAACGTCCTCACTATTGAGTGCTCTCCTCAATTTCGTCTTCCTCACTAGTCTCTACAAACTCTACACACGCCCTACCAGAAATTTATGAGCTTCAACATCCTCTAATGACAGATTCTTACTTACATTCTTCTCTACAATAATGTTGCAGACTTAAATCTGACACCCTGGGGATTTTCTGCAAGCATTAATTCTGAAAAAATACTTTTTTCACGCTTGAAGTGCTTGATCCAAACAGAATCTGTTTTATTGACATAACACATTTCATTACAAATTAGCCTAAGGTTTCATGTAATGCTACCAGCTCTATTTCCCTCCTTTCTGAAGAACCTATATTTTTCAGTGACTCCAGTTATTGTTTCTGCTATGTTTTTATTACCCCTAGAATGTCTGTATACACATCTTGCACTAGTAGGTAAAGTTCCTCCATTTTCTTACCCATGTTCCCACCATTTGTATACAAACACTTTGCTTATTTCTTATTATTATTGTTTCTTGTGCACTCAGTTTCCTGGCTGGAATTTCTTATGGTACCTCAGTGAACTGAATTGCCTACTGGACTGTCCTTCTTCTTCTTATTTAGAATTCTTTAAACTTCAAAGCCTGAATGCAGCGGAAAAAATGCAGATTAGATCTTTGTTGTCAATTTATGATCACATTCAAAGTTTAGTAGAAATGTCTCCATTGTTTCTGATGGGTTTGGATCAAGCTCTTAGTGTCTGTGGTTCATGTGCTTAAAATATGACAGAACACTGTGATTTGCTGGGGGCAGGGACAGCTCTGCTACCGCCCTGCAGCCAGCACAAGCCAATAGCAATGGAGCTAAAAACAGCCCGTGGTTTGGCAAGTCAGCACAGGAAGCACCAGCTCTGCAAGACTCAGGCTGCATTTTTTTTTTTTTTGCTGCATTTATAGCCCAGGTAAACTCTACTGACTTCTCCAGCATTACTTATTCCCACTTGCATTTCTCAACCATATACTCTAAATTCTGCATATGCATACTTTGCACGAGCTTCAGAACTAGCAGTACATTATTACTTTATTGTTGAAGCTTTCCCTTCACCTGTCCACCCACACTATCTACTGTAATTACCAGCTCTTTCTGTCACTTCTCAGCAGTGACCTTGTCTTCTCTTTCTGCAAAGTGCTGTAAGATTGCAGGCACTGTAGCCTATTAATAATAAATTCAGAGGTGTTAGCATGTTTTCAGTACTGAGATATGAAACATGGGGGTAATTTTAATAACAACGGCACGTGATTGATGGTCATGAAATAGGTGAAGATTTGTTAGAAATGAGCCATTTTTACATGTGCATATATAGTTACTAGTAGCAGTACAGAGAACTAGTGCATGAGGGATCATTTAGTTAAACAGTAGCAGCCAAATTATATTCTGAA